TTTAGTAGTAACAGCAAAATACAGTGTATTTCAAAGCATAATTGCTGTGGATTAGAGCCAGTGTAGCCTGAGCTGGCCTGTGTGCTTTTCTGTTTGGAGATGTGTAGATGATGCAGTAAATGTTGAGGGATTAGTCAAAGCTGAAGGGTCACAGCACTAATCTCATTATGGCACGAGGAGGAGGAGGGATCTGACCACTCCTGAGCGACTTAGCAGGCAGCCTCAGCCCGGAGGGAATCCCTGTTTCACTACAGAGCATACACATGCACACACACACACACACACACAACCACACACACACACACACACACACACACACACACACAGACACACAGACACACAGGCACTTACACATGCCACTCTGAAACACGTGCAGTGCAGACAGTTTCTGGAAGGATTCATTCAAAATAATAATATAAACAAACAAACAAAAGGTCTTTGGATGACATCATGACTCTGTCAAGTCCTCACTTATGGTGTTGAGTTTGTATTAAAGCTGTGAGAGTTTAAACTGACCTGCCATCTTAGAGAGTTTATAAGTTTTATGTGTTGTTCAACATCATTAAATTCAAATAGAAGAGTTTTATTTCATATTAAATGAGAATGACACCACATTAACATCTGCTCTGTCCAGATTTTTATTTGAATACACTAATACACTAATACTACGTATGAATAGATACTGTTCCCCTAAATAGGCCTTAAAAAAAAAAAAAAATTGAGACTCATTGTTTTAATGCACAGGTTGTTTGGGGCCCTAGCCACTAGGGGTGCTGCTGCAGATTCTGCTGAGTAAGAGCGACATAGTTTCAGTATCTCAAATGACACAGTACCAGTTGGAGGTGCAACTCTACTGTCCACCAGTTGCTCTCCTTCGCATGTTCAGAGTCGAAACACAAACACACTCATAATCATTCATCTTCCGCTGCAAGAGTAATACATTCATAAATAATTTCCTGATAATTGATCAATTGATCACTTTCTCGTAATTGTTTACACTAAGCCTCGGGGAAACATAGAGAGAGCATTCTAAAAAAATGCACAACTCTGCTATTATAACCAAGTGTAGCGAGCCTGTAGATACTGAGGATCTGTCATACTCACAAATTATTCCCTGTGAAAATGTCAAAAAGAAAAGAAAAAGGAAAGTAAATACATTCCAGAATCTGTCCCTTTTTCTGGATCTCTGCCAAAGCTGTGTCCAAGTTTCTATTCTCTTCAGTAGTTTTGTGTAAAGTAATTAAAGCAGAAGGTTACAAACAGAACTGACTACATAACAAGTGGAAACAAGTGTCTCCGCTGGCAGATTTTTCCCCCTTTCTTTAAGAAAATGTTGATTCAAAGATGGAATATGAGGCTCAATGACTCGTTAAGGCTGACGCACTGCAGGGCATGTGAGGTCATGGTAAAACAGTGTGGACGAGGACTGCGCGTCTTCCAAAACAAAACAGTAAAACTCCAAGCAAACCTATAAATGAAATGTGCCTTTCTTTCTTTCCTTCCTCTGTCTTTCTACACTCAGCAAACTCCGGCCCCAGCTCGCACATGGGCGCGTGCACACAGTCACACGCATGCACGCTGTGTACCAGCACATGCACAAGCCACAATGACACATCCCAGTGAGTGTTTTAGCTTTTCTTGTGACAATAATAAAACCGAGTGCCAGGAAAGAAAAAGGAGAATGACCAAAGACACGTGGACTCTCTTCAGATTCCATCCCTCTCATCTCCTTCTTTTTCACTTTTTCTCACATCTGCTGCATCTGTCTCTCAGACCAGATGAAGACATCTAATTAAGACACGTTCGTCTTCTTAGTTTGTGTTTCATTGTTTTTTCGGTTCCCCTCTGGAGAGATAATGGCACTGAAGTAATTTTGTTAGGCCAAGCTGTTTGGCCAGGAGGTTAAAGGTGAGAGTGATTCGTTTGAATTATTTCCAGGCTGAATGCACCATCATTCCAGACATGCTGTGCTAAGACAGCTGGAGCTCTTTGTGCCAATGGGAAAATGGCTGATTGATTATTTAGCCTGTCCAACTCTGTTTACACCAGAGCAGCAGGGCTATTAGCGACAAGGCTTTATTAGCAGCTATAAGGTGATTATGGGGTATTGTCATGACAATACTATAGAAAAACATCTTAGAACCGATCCAACACTTTATATAAGAAAGTACAACCGCTGTTTGAACTTCGTATAAGGACATAAAAACTATTTGATTCAAGAATAAATCTGTGAAATAAGTGGCTCTTCTTTTCAGATATCATACACATATTATGGGTGTGTTATCAGAGGCTGCATAATTGCTCATCGATCTCATCCCCTGTCTTTTTTATGGAGCCTGTCTCTGTCTCATACCTCACCATCATCCAGTAAACTGAAATGAGACTATGTAACTATAAAATTGATGCAGTATATCTGGTTTGCATTTTGTGATTGGCTCATATCTGCCTTGGCTCAAGTCTGTTTTAAATTATATTATTAATATTTGATTTGGTGTGACCTGATAACTGATGCATACAGCAAGTACCATGAGCAGCATGTCCCTGGTTCGACTCCTGACCATCCGGGCCATAGACTGTAAAGATATACAACATGACTGCTTTCCTAAAGTGATGTCATATCCTGCAAGTTTAGCTTAAATTAGTTATTTGATGCTATTAAATGACAGCTGAGACTGACTCCTGATTGGTTGAGCAGATGTTTATATGGGACCATGCAATTGTGGGTCCTTCTCCTGTTGGCTACTCCAGCTCTTGCTCCTTAAAAGCAAGATGGTGGTGTTCAAATCGGGGCAAGGTCACACATAGGAGTTGAAGGTTCGCCACTGCTATGTTTGTGTACAGACAAGGAGAGGACAACAGGGACAGTAGCTAAGAGACTTAGGGCTATTTTCTATGAAACCAGTGGTACAACACAATGAATCAAGCCAAGTTTAATCATTATCGCTGCTGCTGACATGCTCCTGACACACAGCAGACATTTTGGTAAAGGTTACCTTGACAGCCCCACTCGTGGCCTGATGAAGAACATGGAGATTACACACGGTCGTCTGAATGAACCATTGACACCCAAAGGCCAGATGAAGTGTTCCCTGCCTCAATAAGAGGCCACTTGACTTCCAGGGAAACTTAGAGTCAAAAGAACAAGGAAATCAGTCTACACAGGTTATTTGAAGAGTTTAAGCTGAGCCACAGTTAAGAGTCTGTCGTCATATGTCAAATGAGATACTGGTAACAGTATGTTCAAGATAGATAACACAAATACATCTCTTACATTAGATGAGGGTTGAATGGACTTGCCCAAATGATTTCAGTGAAATAGCAAGAGTTTTAGGTTGAGTTGGGTTAAAAAGGTTAAATACCAACAAATATATTGATGACTTGGTAGAGACATATTTTCAATTTTTCACAATTTCAACTTTCTCAGTTATGCCACCTTCCTTGATTACCGAACAGCATCTTTCCTCTTACACTTCTCATCTTAGCACAGTTACAATTTTGACAGGTTCAGTCATTTGTTTATCTCTACTGTAAACTCCTACAGTTGTATGTCATGAATTCTGACCTCAGACAAAGGGTCCTGCAGATGGAGACACAGACAGGCCTGTAATTCTTTTTTCTGTGTGTGGAATGATAATGATTTTGACCCTGGCCTTGGGTTAGCCTCGTCTGCCTTAGCGACGGTTACCGCTGCGCTCAAGACAGAAGGACAGACTGGCTGGCCCATGTCTGGGCCCACATCAGGGGGAGTGTGTTGTCCTGCCCTGCCCTCACTTCTGTACTCTTTTAACTGGCCACCTCCCTCCTGATGGACTGAAGGATTTATGAACAACACGCAAACTCAGGATTTACACTCACACTCACAGGTTCCTGAACCCCCCGCTGACACACAGTTGAAAGCACAACTGTTCTTATGCGCACAAATGGACATTATGGACCCTCAATTCAACAGACTTTGAGCTTAATGCAGAGCACTTAGGAAAATGATTTCTGTTGTCGCATCATTGCAGGGGTCTGCACATGTAAATGTAAGTACTGTATTACAGGCTTATGCTAATATTTATATATACAGAGGGTGCACAAAATGATTTGGACACGAGTGTAGAGTAAAATCCAGTACAAGACAAATTGCACCATGAAAATGATAAATCTGAATTAAAACACAATTTTACAGGCTTTTTTTCTGTCAACCCTTAATTATAGAGACAAAAACACTTTAAAAGACAAGAAAAGAAAGCTGTAGTGTGATATTACAGCATGGACGAAGTGATGGAGATAATATTAATGTAACAACATAGTAAAGAATAGGAAGTACTACAAATCCAACACAACACCAAAGAAACTCTTTAGGTACTAAATGTTATTGTAGAGGGTTATTGTAGTGATACATTACTACTACGTTACTTTACATACTTTACTTTGTAAGGTGCTGTAGGAATGATGTGTTGTGTCCAATGGTAGAAATAATAAGGCTAAATATCAGTGTGACGGAATAAGTTGTTGGTCCCAATGGTTTGTGTTGTGACCTGAATACTTCACAGTTGAATTCCTGCCAGCAGCTCATTAACATTCCGATACAGCTCTAATCACTACTGTAACGTGTGTGCATGTGCTTGTGTGTGTATGTGTGTGAGAGAGAGAGAGAGAGACCATGCACGTGTTGCTCTGTGAGTGAGGATGCGGCAAAAGTGTGTAAAGAAGTGCCAGCCTCAGGTGATCAGAGCCAAATGGTGTGACTGGCTCCATCGACATGCAGCGTTGTTTCTCTCGCCTCGCAAAGTGTTGAGCTGAGACTCATTTTCCTGCAAAGATTTATTGAGAATGAAGAATATGAATTCTGGAGAGTGGTGAAAGATGCGCAGTGGAAAGAGATTGTGCCCAAAACATTGCCTGACGTCAGACGGAAACAATTTTGTATTACTAGTGTCACTCTCATGTGTCTTTTTCTACTGTCTTGAATTATTGTCCAATAACCACATCTATGTCTTTGTTTGTCTCTACAGAAAGACTGTATAACTCCAATGGACGTGACTTAAGAAGAGCACTGTTCTCTCTGAAGCAAATTTTTCAGGTAACACACACACACACACACACACACACACACACACACACACACACACACACACATACACACACACACACACCTCACATGCAATTACAGTCAGTCCTTTTTTCTGCAGCTGGTTATTGTGGCCACTGTGTGCTTCCATGATGACAGGGATCTAAATCAACGTGGCATCTCTCTCTCCGTGTGTATGTCTGTGTGATTATGCATATGTCCGTGTGTGTGTGTGTGTGTGTGTGTGTGTGTGTGTGTGTGTGAGAGAGAATCCTTATTTTAGACTGAGACAAGTTAGTCAGCCACGGATGGCTTTTTCTGGGGCAAATAAACAAAAGCACGCAAATATAACAACACGTGGTTCTTAAATAAAGCAGTGTTGTGAGAACTTTCAAGCTGTTTACATTTTTTTGTCAACTAGCATCTATCACATCTCCCCCTTATTCCTTTTTACTCACTCACTCAGAGCAGCCAAACCAAATTTAGCAAATTGCTTTCACCCAAATCTCATGTTTATTTTCCTGTTAAAGCTCTTGAATGAAAGTAAAGCCACAGGTGAGCTGTTTGAATTTATGTGTATACACAATGCACCTAAAGTTCAGGAGTCCTGCATCTGTCCAGACAACTTCTTTGAAGTGTTTTCATCTTCTTCTTTTATTGTAGTTTGAAGAAAAGTTGTAAAAGAACAACTGCAAAGTACATGGTTGTTGACATGTGGAGTGTGTATCAGCCGGCTTGAGGTGTGTGTGTATGTGTTGGGGGGGTTGTACCAACTTAAATCGTCATCACGCACATCACTGCCACCATGTGGTAAGAAATGAGAACCCAGTAATGAGCTGTGGGAGATGCTTGGTGGTTCTGTGGTGTATGAAGTTACAGTTACTGTTTTAACCTGTTACACCTGTCTAATGCTTTAGGATGACAAAGATCTGGTCCATGAGTTCGTGATGGCTGAAGGTCTCACGTGTCTCATCAAGGTGGGAGCAGAAGCTGACCAGAACTACCAGAACTACATATTAAGAGGTACAGTCTCTCTCTCTCTTTCTCTCCCTCTCCCTCCCTCCCTCCCTCTCCTTCCCTCTCTCTCTCCCCCTCCCTCTGAATGCTGACAATAATAAACCATGTTAGGGGAAAAGATCAGAAACAATATCAAACAATACATGTACAATATATGCACTGAACAAAGATAATACACAGCGGATTTAGTGAGTGCACAGTATGTTATTTACTAGTAAGCATTATTAATACTACAACAACCTATATTAGAACCAATAAATATATTTTATAGTAGAATCTATGCACAGTTAAAATAATAATAATCCTTGAGATTAGAAATAGAATATACATATGAACTGGAAGGGCAATCAAAGGTGTGCATACATCTGTCGAAGCCAAACAGTTGCCTGAAATTCAATCAAACTGCACCAAATTGCACATAGATATCAGCTCCCTTAATGTGCCTTATTTTATTCATTAAGATCCATCCATGATTCCCTGGGGAAAAGAGGAAATCCCTTCTTCAGATCTCGATCCAAAATTAAACTTTTTTTCCCCCTAACCAAAACCACATCCGTCATGGAAATCTGCTTAGTTATTTTGGCGTAATCTTGCTCACAAACACACATTTGAACCAACAAACAAACAGACTGGAGTGTAAACATAACGTCCGTGGCCGAGGTAATGCATAAAGTAAAGAGGAACCAAGTAAATCTGATGGCTGCTGTAGATCAAGCAGGTCGGTCTGATTCCTCCATGTTGTGGCAGTCAGAGACAAACTGTCCTGCAAACAGAGCAGTCGTGATTTGTTCCCGTGCATTTTTGGATTTTTTCACTAATAAAACTGTGGATGTTTATCTGTAAATTTGGAAGTGCTGTTCCCACACAATGCAGCTCTATCTCTGCAACAGTGCTTCTGCGATCATCTCACAAAGTCACTCCTTCTCCTCTCTTTCTCTTCTTTTCTCTCCCTCTCTCAGACTGACTTTCCCAACACTCCCTTCCTGTTTCTGTCTGTAATGAGCTCTGCGCTTCCCTGAGTTTTTCATAATGACACTGTGGTGTATTTAGCACATGTTTTGATTGAACAACCACACATCCGATTAGAACAGAAGTGCCTTATTTAGATTGCAGCTAACACAAATGACCACAACAGAGTAGGCATTGTTCAGCTGCTGTCATTCAGCTCCTGCAGCTTTTTCATATCTTACACGCATGCTTCCCATAATTTCCACCATCAGTAAATACACGTGAAGTTCCTAAGAGAAGGCCTTGCTTTCATTTTTCACACTTAAACATAGACAAACACACATTCCTCCCCCCACACCCATAATTCCCTCTCTCTAAACATGTGTCACAGATAATCATTTCATGAGCACTGTAATTACAGAGTGTTTTTGTTTGCTCTTAATTGTGTAATGACTGGCTATCGACAGCCATGTGATAAATCTTACAGAGGCAGCTCTGAGCAGGGAGCGGTGGTGTCAGAGGATCTGTGGTTGCTGAACAACTACCCCCCACCAGTAAAAACACAGTGTGGTGGAGGCCATTTACAGTTCTTTATTTATACAACAAGCTTTTTTTGTCAGGTGAAAGAACCCAGCTGGCATGAGGTGATTGTGTGTTGATATGACACAAGCTTTCAAATATGAAGAAATAAGAATTTAAGGTGAAGAAAGAGTCACATACAATAAGTGATTTGTTTGATGATGGTAAAAGTCTTCGAAATCCAATTAAGCATCATAGTCGTCGTTGTTTAATAATTGTTTTACAGTTAATCAGATTGCCATATGGTTGAATAGTTCTCGCCACTGTTTGTTTCTCATCCTTTTCAGATAATTTTTCATCAACTCTAATGAACCAGTACTTTGACTCTTTGCAGATCTCCCTCTTTCTAGGATTGATTCGATTTGGCAGAATCACTTTGCCTGCATTTGATTCTGAAGGTCCTGGCGTAGACCCTCTCCGCAAAAGAGAGAGGTCCACGCCATATGTCCATACGCCATATAGTTGTTGAGTAGATTCCTCCCACATCCCACATGATAGTGACTTGTGATAATTCCTTTGACGCCAGCTAAACTTGTTCCGTGATAAGACACGGACCATTGACGTCACCATCCACTGGTGCCCAGCCAGGTGTTTCCATGCGGATATTTACCTTTGACCTTTGAAGCCATGCGGTACCAGCCTTTGGGACGCACATAAACCTGACCACCTGTGCTGCACTCAGCCAAGTCAGTGAGATCAGTGAAGTCGTAGTCAATCTTTGGGTCAAAAAAATTGTTCCTCATTGAAGAAAAACTCGTTCACATAAGTCTGCCTTTTACAACAGTGTCAAAAAAGTCCTCAGCAGACATAACGTCATCTGTCTCCGCACATGTTTTGTCATGAAGTTGGAGCTTTTGTCCAAAAAAGATACAGCTTCAATTTTCAAATGGGAGTTCATGACTGTATGCAGACACCAGCAAGTTTCCCTCCTTTCCTCCTCCTCACACTGTGAATTCACACCAAGCAAATGTGTTCAGTATGTGAAGAAGTAAGATACTTCCCCTTTTTAAAGCTGTATACTGTTCCTGATTCATCTGTACTGAAAGCTGACCATCATTACCAAATGAGAAAAACAACAGAAACCCTCACAAAGGTTGATGTGCAGATATTTCATTTGAAGAATGAACTAAATTACTTGCTGTGCACAATAATAAATAAAAGTGATGTGATATAAATGAGAGTATTTGGCAGTTTGACCCCCTTGTGATGTCATCAAGATTGAAAGGGGCATTGGTTACACACTAAGGGAAAACTGTGAGGTTTGGTTTCTGTGGGAAATCTCTGTTCAACAAAACACTGAAATTACAACTCTTTTAATTTAAACACAAGACATGTTTTTCAATGTTAGGCACTTGCCCTGGTTCTGAATAAGCAAAGAGAGAAATTAATATGAAAATATAAATACTAAGTGCAAAGGTCTTTCAGCACAGTCACAGTGTAAATGAAATGAATAAACAGATATCAAGAACCAGATCATATAAAAGCAGAAAGCGTGTGAAACACACACTTGCTTTGTTAAAACTCCCTGTTTATTTATTTTCTCTGCCTGTCTAACTTTTTGTTTGTGTCGTTGTCTCAGCTCTGGGGCAGATCATGTTGTACGTAGACGGGATGAACGGTGTCATCAGTCACGCTGAGACAATCCAGTGGCTGTACACTCTCGTTGGTTCAAAGGTAAAAACATGCATGCATACTAAATCATCTTCGACTCCAATTACACCCAAGCACACGCAGGCTTTCATCGACTCTGAGCAGCCCATCCATTGTTTGGTGGTTAATATTTTTAGCTTCTATGCACAGCAACACATACACACACACACACACACACACACACACACAAATACATCTGCTACTGATTTGTATTCTGTGTCCTGACCTGAGGCTGGTGACTTTCCCCTGATTTTGCGGTACTGTGGTATTTGCACTGGAAGTATCAGTCTTAATTCCAGTGCCTAAAGCCTGTTGTTACTTTGTTTCCATTTATTTATTTATTTATTTAATGTGGACAAATCATAGCACATATTGAGTGTGCAAAGAAATACAATCTTCCACACTATCTTTCTTAAAACAAAGTTGACTTAAGTTAACCCTAACCCAAATAAATAATAATATTGAATATATCAGGTCTATATGTATGTAACCTCGTTTGCAGAGGTAATAAATCTAAAATATACCATGATGTATGCACAGGGATAAAATATCGTTAGAATGTAATATTGACACATCACTAATTCCATTGTGCACGTTTGCTTGTATTTCTGCTCTAGTTCCGTCTGGTGTTGAAAACAGCCCTGAAGCTGTTGCTGGTGTTTGTGGAGTACTCTGAGTCCAACGCTCCGCTGCTGATAGAAGCCATCACCTCTGTGGACACCAAGAGAGGTACAGAAAACTTATTGTTCAATATGATTTGTGCTTATCTAATGACTTGGTTTAGAAAAAGGTGTGTTTGGTGGAGCAGAAACAACACAACTCATGTTTTCATTGGTGGTCTCCAGGCTGCAAGCCATGGTCCAATGCTATGGAGATCTTACAAGAGAAGGATGGAGTGGACACAGAGCTGCTGGTCTATGCCATGACCCTCGTCAATAAGGTATAGGTTAGCACAAGCAGATATACAAGTTCAACAAATATGCATGTTTTTCTGTTTTGCCAAACCAATCTTTAAAAAAAGATTCTGTCAGATTCTGGAGTTTAGCCATCAAAAGGATATCAAACCTCATCTTCACCTCTTTTTTTTTTTGCAGACACTCTCAGCGCTGCCAGACCAGGATTCATTCTATGATATGGTGGACGGTCTGGAGGAGCAGGGCATGGAGACAGTGTCCCAAAGACACTTGGGACGGAAAGGCACTGATCTGGACTTGGTTGAGCAGCTGAACATCTATGAGGTTTGAGACACACGCACATGCATTACATATATTCAGTCATGACGCTACAAGGAAAATATTGCCATCTGATGGAAGTTTTTTGTTAAAGATCAGATTTCAGCTATTAAGTGCTGCTGACGTCTAATGAATACGATGCGATGTGACTCTCTACAGTATTTATAGCACATTTGCGTAATGATAAAATTCTGGGAAGCACCGGTCACCTCACACCCAATCAACTTTTCCTCCAGATGACCCTACGGCACGAAGACGGCGACAATGACAGCCAGCCGCCACCCACGGGACGCCGGGACCGCCGACGAGCCAGCCTCGGCGGTGGGGACAAAAAGAGTGGCCTGGAGAGGAGGCGGAGCCGCAGGGCCTCCCTCGGGCGATCTGGGCACGCCTCCCCGTGCAGCCCGGCGTCTCCACAGAGAGCCGGCTTCCAGCCTTTTAGTGGACACAGAGCCGAGGACACAAGCGAGAGGTGAGAGAAGGGGGAAGATAGAGGAGTGTCAGAAGGTTTGTCACAACAGCAGAGGGAAGAAGGGGGTTGCTTTCCCGCAGGTATAGTGAGTGATTGTGATGCTGCTCAGCTGAACAGAGAAAGGCTGACTGTCTCATACCACCACTTTCTGCTCCAGGGCTCTGTCAGGTTGCCTTCCTTCCATGTAAGTTCGAAGGTCACTGGAAAAAAACAGTCAGCTGTTGACCTCGGTGACCTCCTGTCTATATTTTCTACCACGCTCCTCACCTACATGCTGTAACAGCTATGTCACAGTGTGTCCCATGGGACTTAAAGCACATTGAGTGGGATTTTTTGGTTCTCCAATGAATCACTGGTGCTCAACTAAACAAAATAAAACAGTTCCCAGTAGCCACACAAGCCTTTAAGGTTCCAAACATGTGCATTGACAAACACAGTGCTATGCATTAATGCACAAAAAGGACAATCTGGAGCATCAGGTGCTGTTTACTCTCAGGTAAATATTTCTTCTGTGTGTTGTCTCATTCACTGTCAAAGATCCTTCACTTCTTCTACACGCCTCCTCCTCCATCTTTTAGTATGTATCAGGGCAAAAAGGGAAATTGAAAATGAGATTTTGAGCATAAAGATGTAATATTACAAGAAAAAAGTATAATTATAATATTCTGAATTCTAGAAAATCAAGCAAGCAGCAAGGAGAACTTGTATTCGCTGGAATTTCACTTATTCTGGATCTAAAATCTTTAACAAATCTCACAGTTTCTTGAGAAACAATGAAACACCTTTGAATAGAACACACATCAACGTAATCTATGACAGCCTCACAGTCATCCGCTACCAAATATGTCCTCCTCCATAAAAGCTAATTTCCTCCAAGTCTATGTGTATCTTTCTATATAATAGAAATAGTTTCCTGCACAATCTTATCAAAGATGTGATACTTTTTTCTCATAATACAAAAACTGTATTCCTGTAGATTTACAACTTTATTCTCTTAATATTATGACTTTATTCGGAATATCCGTCTATTCATATCTGACTTTATTTGGTACATTTGTGACTTTTTACATCTTTCTTCTCATAAATCCACAACCTTTCTTGTAATATTAGGACTTTTGTTGTTCTCTTAGATTTACAACTTAATTCTCGTAATATTACTGCATTTTACTTGTATATTTACAACCTTTCTCTTGTAATATCAAAACTGGATATCATTTTATACTCATACCTTATACTCGTCATACTCTCATACTGGCAGGTTGTAACCGAAGCACATTATGTCCCATGCCTCAGCTAGTGTTAAAGCAGTATGTGTGGGTACGTGTGTGCGTGTGTGAGCACCAGGACATCTGTTTACCTTAGAAATAAAGGAAAAATGTGTGCAACTGTGAGAATTTGTTAACATGTGGCTTTTCGGATGACGTGATGGGTGAAAGTTGTTGAGACTATCCTGCTTCGTATTATGCATGCACACAGAAAAACAAACACAGCCTTTACTGGCCATCCCCGTTCTTCACTCACACATGGCTCCAGTCTTGTGGAACGATACCTGCAGCACACGGCAACTCGACTACATCATCAAGGCTCATCTGGTATCACCAGACAAAAGCGTTTGGGGACACCGATCTCAAGTCAGTTGTTCAGCCGTGGTGTGCTTCCCTCTCAGTATTCCCTCTCCTCCTCCCTGTCGTCACATTCTGTCCTCATGTGCATGTAAAACTAACTGGAGGCATGGAGTGTGTAATGAGAAACATTCATCCACCCTTTCTCCTGTTTCAGTTTTGTGTATTGGCTCGTCTTAATCCTTTTGTTTCTCTATCACTTTATCTCCATCTGATTGGTGCCATGTCTTTTTTGCTGTTGTCGTGGAACAAATGTTTGTGTGGTTTAGTATCGTGCAGCTGTAAACATAATTTCCACCCATCAATCCTCTCATCTAACCCTCCATCTCTCCATTACTTTTGTTCCATCTCTTCAAAAGTGTGGTAATTTCTACTTGCATGCCATTCTCATGTATCGCATCATCTTTCACTTCATCCTTCCTTTACATTTTCCACTCAACCATTCATCCATCCACCCACCCACCGCCCCCACAGAGAGGAGGAGTGTGAGGAAGGAGTAGAGGAGGAGGGGGAGGAGGAGGAGAGTCCAGTGACAGAGTCTGACTCCGATGAGCAGGAGGGGGATAATACAGTGTCTAATCAGAACACCCCCAGGTATTCTAGGACATGGTGGTAAAATGGAAATGAAATAATGTTCTGTGGTCCTCCTGTGTATCTCGGGGCCCTATATGTAGCGTCACTGTTTTCTGTTGTTTATCTGGTGGGTTTGATTTTCTTGTGATCAACGTACTGTCTATAGTGGTATTTAAGTGCATTACTCTGCAGCCCTTAATCATGTTAAAGGGTTTGTCTTTCATTTAAACATTCATCCATGTATTATCTCAATCCATTCCTCTGTTCCTAGCCCAGCTAGACATCCATCCATCATTCATAGAACAACCGTCCAGTCCATCACCATCACTTCCAGAAAGGGGAGTATAAAGGAGGAAGAGCAGAGGACTCAGATTGAACCACGTCAAGCATCTACCCTCCACACCCCCTCTCCTCCAGTTTCCTCCCCTCTCAGCCCCCCATCCCAGCCCTCCATTCTGGCCACACTGCTGGCCAGGAAGAGGCCCACTGTCACCGTCCCGGCTACCAAAGAGGCCAGCCCGCCGCTGCGCGGCAGCTCTCGGCCCTCCCCCGACTGTCTGCCCTACCTGCCCCACTCGCCCTTCCACCTCTTCTCCTACGACCTTGATGAGGAGCAGTCACCACCGGCTCCAGTCAAACCCAGTGAGGAGTCACCCAAAACACCATCTCCCAGGTCAGAGGGACAATGTTCAGAGCTCAGCGTCCCGTGAGAAGCACTGAAAACTTTTCTCTCTTTTCTTTGACGTTGCACTTTCTGCACCAACTTGGATCTCTTTGCACCACTTGTGTTATTCGTCACCGTCCCTTCTCACCAGTTCCTTTCACTTCTTTGACTGCTCGGCTTCTCACCTTCAGTCTGTCTGTGCACTTCTTATTATCACTTTTGTTTCTATTTCTTCTTAATTCTGCCACTGCATTGATGTCCAGATGTCTCTTGAGTTCTTCTTCTGTTTATCTGTATTTTCTTCCATACTTCTTATTATTTTTACAGAACGTGGCATTTTTTCATTCTTATTTTCTCCATTCACTGTCCTCTTTATTAGGTGTATTGCACTGCTGTGTTTGATATTTCTTATGTTGGATATAATTCTTTTTAATGTGACCTACATGTCACCAATACATAGCTTCTTATGATAATCCTACAGTCAGATATTTACAGGCATGAGTAATTCTGCAAATTGAAACAGAAATGGAGCTCCACGTGTTCACCTGTAATTCACAGAGGTGCCATGATGCTTAAAATTTTTGACACCCTTGCAACATATTAATATTTCACCCCTTGTTATTTTGCATGTGGTACCAGACTCTTGAGTAATATACCTGTAGCTTAAAAAAGTTGTCGCCCTGCCAACGCTTGCTAAATGAGCTCTCCAAGATATATATATGTTTTAGTAGTGGCTTGATGTGAAGAGAAACACCTTGCCCGGAGTTTCCCAGAAACACACACGAGTAAACACCACAGCAGTTACTAATAAGGGTCACTCTAGTGTTGCACCAACAGCATTCCCATTATGTAACAAGGTGTCACATTCGTCTCTCGCCACCAATTTTCACACTGACTAGTCGGTCAGCGTGGTGTCGGGTGAATGGACGACTGGAGAGAGGTTGCTCACTGTCACACGTTTTGTCCCCTCTTCTCTTATTCAGGAATGGAGGTTTCACGTCCTACTCGTCCCTCAGCAGTCCGAGTACCCCGACCACCTCCAGGTGAGAGGACCAACATGTGCCTGCACATGTACATGAAAAAGTCCCTAAAACACACACTCACTGAAAACATGTTCACTTTTAAGTGTGTTTGTATAAAGAAAAAGGCACACAGCTGATCTGTGTGCAGCCTCATGGTGAACACATTCCGAATGTGATCTCATGTCTCTGGTTCCTTAATGAAAAAGCTGCTTTTATTTCCTCACAGACATTAAAATATGATTTACGATGTGTGACATTCATAGTTACACATATACAAGCTCTGAACATGCCAGAAGCACATGTTATGTTCACAAACAGATTAGGCTGTTTATCTTCTCATATTGCTTCACATTGGTACAGCAGATTAAAACAGATGAACAGGGATACAGCAACATCATTAAAAAATAATAAATAAGGTTCTTTTTCATTATGGCATGCCTCTGACCATGAATAACAGTGGTTTAATCAGTCGCTTGAAACATTATTTTCTTGCTCTCTTCTTCAGGCCTGCTCTGGGAGGTCTCCTGTCCTCCTCCTACCGACAACACCAGGAGTCTCTGGCTGCCGAGCGAGAGCGCCGCCGTGTGGAGAGAGAGGAGAGGCTTCAGAGGATAGAGCGAGAGGAGCGGAACAAGCACAGGTGAGTCAGTGCTGGCTTTGTGTTTGAAACGGTGCCAAGCAGTTTGAGATCAGCGAATAGATCTCATGAAGAGAGAATAAATGATAGAGTTGTAATATGATAACTCCATGAAGCCAGAGGACTCACGACGCAACAATAAAAAACAAGAATGAGCAAACCTGAAGCAGCATTGGCCAAACTGTCTTGAGTTTTTGTCTCTATATTTATATTAGTGAAGGTCCACAAACACAGGAACATAAAATTTCCATAAAGAAAAGTAAAATAATCTTTCATGACACCTCCCTGCCTCGTAGATAGGGTTTTACCTGATTCATACATTTACACCCTGAGGCTGCAAAGATGGCCCTAGAGTCTCTGATGTTGTTAGGCAACTAGAGAAGAGCCCGAAATAAATAACCCATTTAGTGTTTGGGTCCACTTAACACTTTAGGAGTCTCAGGGGTAAACAGTGTTGCAGCAGAGGTAACCCCTTCTTCAGACGTAATAAAACAACAGACCAGTGTTGTGTCATCCAAGTGTCTGCAAGCCCTGACATTCAGTGTGCCCTTGGGCGAGAGTTTTCCAGAGTGTCCGTGAGAACGTGAACGTGCCTCCGAGGAGGATATCAGAGGATATTTATGCTTAAAACATTGTGTAAATGATGCTGATTCAAATCGAATTTGAACGTCAGGGCTTCTGGAAAGTTAAGTGACACCACATGAGCAGTATGGAGGCATATTATGTTTTGTTTCTGTTGAATAATTAACTTTAGAGGTTCTGGTTTTCAGATTTATCTTACATTTAGACGGAGCCAGTCTAGTTATTTCCCACTGTCTTTATGCTAAGCTAAGCTAACTGACCCCTGGCTGTAGCAGTTACGAGTTTCCTCTCAGCAAGAATACAATAAAGTG